AGCTCCAGCCCCATCATACAACTTTTAGAAGAGAAGATACATGTTTTACTTTTCTCACACTGTTGTTGCTGATAGATGGCCATTGAGTTGATTCCGACTCATAGCGACATGTGTGCAGGCTAGAACTCCACACAGTGTTCAAGGCTGTTTGCTGTTGTTGTTAATTACCCTTGAGTCAGTCCTAACCCATAGCGACTCTGTATTAGGGTTTCCAAGGAGCAGCTGGTGAACTTGAACCACCAGCCTTCCAGTTCCAACCAACTGTGCAGTCCAGTGCATTAAACCACAGCACCACAAGAGAAGGTCAGGTTTATGGATAGTACAGAATTTCCATATATTTATTCTCCCCCCTGAATATGGTTTCTCCTATTAACATCTTTAATTTTGTTGTACATTTGTTGTAACTGAAGAACCAATATTGATACATTATTGTTATCTAAAGTCTATAGAGTATATTAGGATTTATCTTCATGTTGCTCTATAGTCGTAGGATAATGCCGTTTTTCCATCCTTATAGTATCATACGGAGCAGTTTTATTGCCCTAAAAATGTCTTCTGCTCCACCTGTTCACCCCTCTAAACACAGTTTGTCATAACGATAATCCAGGACCCTCAAGTCTTGAAAGCCTGTGTTCACATTAAAAAAAAAAAAACCTCTGTACAAATTCTTATAGAAACTTTATTGGTAATTTCTAAAAAGTGGAAAAAACTAGATCAGTCAATGGATACATGTCTGTAGGTATGCAGATAGTTTGTGTCCAACTACTGACTTAAAGCTTGGCAGATTGAACCCAGCCAGATTAATGTGGAAGATAGGCCTGTTAAGATTACAGCCTAGAAAACCCTGTAGAACTGTTCTACTCTGTAACACATGGGGTTCATATGAGCTGGAATCACCCTGATGGCAACTAACAAGTGTAGCCATACAATGTATTCTTTCCATTTTATTCAGCGATTTAAAACACACGTGCAAACGTATAAAACAAAAACTAGCTTTCAAGCTATGAAAAGATATGGAGAAACCTTAAAGAAAGACTTCTTAGTGAAAGAATCCAATCTAAACATTCGGCGTATGTATGAATTCCCACTACATGACATTGGAGTCCTAGTCAGGTGCTGTGAGATAAATGTTGGAGTGCAAGGTCAGTTTGAACCACAAAGTTGGTGGTTCAAACTCACCAGCCGCTCCTTCGAAACTTTGTACAGGATTGTTATGAGCTGAAACCCTGAAACCGGCTGGACAACACTTAGTAACAACATAGGACATTACCGTTGTTGTGTGCCCCATCCATTCAACTCATAGCAATACTAGTAGATAGAGTATCCTATAGAGTTTCATAGGCTGTCATCTTTAAGGAAGAAGACAGAGCCATGATGGGCTCTAACTGCAAACCTTTTTGTTGGCAGCTATATGCTTAACCACTGTGTCACCAGAGCTCCTTGGTCAACACATCAAAACATGCTATTCTTGGTTTTTGCTATAGCAAGCATGTGCTGCAGAAAATTCAGTGTGTAACAGGCAATGAAGGTGTGTTTCCGAGGTTTGAAAGTTGTACAGTAAACAAATTGTTAAGAAATAAATACTTATAAAGTTCTTTGGCCACCACACATCTGACAGTTTATCATACTGTGATGGCTTGCATGTTACCGGAAGCTATGCCACCAATAGGGTGGACAGGTTTCAGCGGAGCTTCTAAACTAAAGCAGACTAGGAAGAAGGCGAGGTGGATGACTTCTGAATGTTAGCTACTGAAAACTTGATGAATAGTAACAGAACATTGGAAAGTTGTGTCTGAGGATGAGCCCCTTAGGTTAGAAGGCATTCAGAACATGAGTGGGGAAGAATTACCTCCTCAAAATAGAGTTGACCTTACTGATGCGCATGAAGCAAAGTTTTGGGACCTTAATTTGCTGATGAGACATAACTCAGATGAAAAGAAACAGCTGCAAACATCCATTAATAATCAGAACATGGAATGTACAAAGAAGTATAAATCTAGGAAAATTAGAGCTTGTCAAAAATGTAATAGAAAGCATAAAGATTGCTATCCTAGGCACGAGTGAGTTCAAATGGACTGGTATAGCTCATTTTTTTTTTTAATGTTTTATTGTGAATTATGTGATAGTTTACATGGGAGAACATTAGTTTTACATTCATTCTATCATATATCGCTTCATTGCCGTGATTATAATCCCCTCCGTGCATCATCAACCAACCAAAGGGTAAGACCCTACAAACCTGCCCCTTGGTCATCAGCACACAGCCCCTCTCCCTCTCTGGGTCTAGAGTCCCCAGCTGCTCCATCTCTCCACATCATCACCTCTGCCTCCATCTCTGGCTTCACTGCTTCTCTGGGTAGGGTCCTGCTCCTCACTCTTCTCCTTTGGTGGTCCCAGGGACCTCCGCTCCTAGAATGCAAAGTTATTCACTCTCTCCTTGCTACAAAACGTCTACCTTTACATTTCCAACCCTCACAATCAGTCCTGATAACAATTATTCACTATTGTATCACAAGAGATCTATCCACATTTCCTTTCATCAGCCCCACCTAGACAGACTGGATACTCCTCAGTGGAGATTTTACCTTCCTCCACGCCCTCTGGATCTAGGTTCCCTCTTGAAAGCTTGTAAACCAGTCACTTCTTGCCTTTGTAGCCTTCCCATTTTGGGTAGCCAGTGTCCAAGTTGCCCATCCCTGTCTACTCTATGTGTAGAGGGGGTGGGAATGATTCTTGTTGTAAAAAATTTTTCCCTCTTTTGAGCTACTACATCCATAGGTGTAGGTCAAGTTCATCAAATTGTAAAAGAGATTACTCTTTTTTTCCTCTGCTTTCTTCTTCTGGTTGAGCTCTGATCATCCAGTCATTGAAGCCAGGTCAAGTGGGTATTATCTGCAAGTGTGAGTGTTCTTGTGCATTTGCCCTCTCTTCTATCAGCTGGATGATTCACTCTCCACTCTAGTCCTCTGTGGCTATGTCAGTGACTCTGGGCCCAAGAATCCCCAGGTCTTGCCACACTGCTGGCCAACCAGGTCTCCAACCGGGTTCACAGGAGTCTGTTGAATGTTGTAGGGCTTAGCTCGCAGCTTCATTGCTGTTTTTCCCTCACTTCCCCTTGATCAGTGATGAACGTGGTCACCAATCAGAGTGTGTATTCCCATTGAGTCTTAGTCTTGGAAGGGGGTAGGATAATTTTTAAGACCCCTGTACATCTCTCCAGACTGATGCTTAGAATGAACAGATTCCCTCCAATTTGCCCCTAGCCTCTGCTGTTTTGATAAAACCTGTTGCCGCCCAGTCACTTCTTACTCTTAGTGGCCCTACAAGCCCCATAGGGCTTCCAAGGCTGCGATCATTACAGAAGCAGACTGTCACATCTTTCTCCTGCAGAGCAGCTGGTGGGTTTAAACCACCGACCTCATCGTTAGCAGCCAAGAGCTTAACTACTGCATCACCAGGGCTCCTTTCCAGTTCCACAGAGACGGTTTCATTGTCTGTAACTGATCTCAGTGACTCAGCAGATACCATTCAATGGAGGCATGCATTGGCTATTCTGATGCTACATCCTTGGGGCAGGTACTTAAACAGTAACAGAATCTGACCTCTGCAGGGAGGTCAGTTAGTTTGGGGAAGATGCAAAGTGGCAGTCCACACTACAGGACAGGTCAGGACAAGCTTCCCAGGTTGTTGCTGTTGTTTAGTGCCACCGAGTTGGTTCTGACTCCTAGTAACCCTGTATAGGGCTTCCAAAGAGTGGTTGGTGGGTTTGAACTGCTGGCCTTGCTGGTCAAACTGACCTTGCAGTCTAGTGCCTTATCCTGCAGTGCCACACAAAATTTCCGATAGATGGATGCCAAGTGTTGATGTTGTTGTTAAGTGTCTTTGAGTCAATTCAGACTCTGTGTAGGGTTCCCAAGGAGTTTCAATGGCCGACCTTGTGGGCAGCAGTCAAGTGCTTATCCTACAGCACCACACCAGGCCTCCAAGTGTTGATGAGATTTGTAAAACCATTTCAGCTTCTGGTGTGAGGAGTCCTTCTGGTTGACCAGGATGGGAGGGGTTAAGGTGAAAACCCTGGGTCTGGTTCAACAAGGCGCAGTGCCCAGGTCCTGGCGAAGTCCATACTTCTCCGCTGGGCCGGTGGGAGGCAGACGTAGTTCTTGAAGAACTTGCTCTGGCGGGCACCCTCCTTAATGCAGTTGGCGAGCGGTTTGCTGACCTGCGGGATGCCCAAGTAGATCAGCTTCGCCATAGGAAATGCGCCCACCACCATCTTGGCGGTCACACGGGGCGCACGCCACCTTCCTCTGTTGGCCTTTTATAATAAGATAATCATTGGTTTACTATGCCAGGAATGACAAATTCAAGGGGAAAGGTGTTTCATTCATCTTCAAAGAGAACCTTTCAAGATCTGTCTTGCAGTACAGTACTGTCTGTGATAGGATAATATCCATATACTTGTAAGGAAGACCAGTTAGTGCCACTGTAATTCAACTGTACACAACAACAATTGTAAAATACTTCTTTCTTCACTTGGTTAATTCTTCATGAGGCATAAAGTAACTCAGTTGCTTAGTGTTTATTTGATAAACTTTTTATTAGGGCCTTCTATGAACAAAATTTGGCAGTGGTTGCTACAAAGATTACGAAGATAAATATGGCTCGGTTTCTGACTCCAAAGAATATGTGGTATAGCAGGGAAAATGGTGGAAACATTGAAGAATTCTAGCAAGGCCTTGCGAGTTAAATTGATCAAACATGCAGTTAAGATGCATTGATAATTGCTGGTGATTAGAATGAGAAGGTTGGAAACAAAGTGGAAGAAGCAGGAGTTAAAATATTGTTAAGTAGCAGTACAGAATTGAAATTGCCTTCATAAGAGCCACTGTTCACACAAAGCATCCCTTGGATGCCACTATCCATGGCAGAATATTTAACTATATAAATATAGATAGATAATTTTTGCAACTCATTAAATTATTTGTGTTTTTGGTTTTCAGTGGATGATTCAGAAGCCACATAAAGCAGCCACATTTTTTGGATGCATTGGTGTAGATAAATTCGGGGAGATCCTGAAGAGAAAAGCTGCTGAAGCCCATATAGATGCTCATTACTATGAGCAGAATGAACAGCCAACAGGGACTTGTGCCGCCTGCATCACTGGTGACAACAGGTCAGTGTAATTCCAAAGGGCCTCTCTACAACACCATACTAAAGGTTGTAGAGATCTAACAGTAGTATGTTAACAACTGTTGCAAAATCTACAGTAAAATCTGAATTTAGAAATTTTTTTGGTGGTCGTGTTATTTTATAAAATTACTTTATTGCAGAAAAGAAAAGGCATCTATTTAAAGTGACTGGTGAGTTTGAACTGCTGACCTAGTGGTTCAAGCCAACCTTGTAGTCCAGTGTTTTATCCCACAGCACCACACAAGGGCTCCAACTAAAATCTAGCATTCAAAAATAAAAAGGAAACAATTGTTGAATTGGTGTGTATATTCTCAACAAGAGACACAGAAAAAATTGTATACTTTAAATAGATGCCTTTTCTTTTCTGCAATAAAGTAATTTTATAAAATAACACAACCACCAAAAAAATGTGGCACCAAAGACTTTTCCGATCTCTTTACCTTTTTTATTTATTTTTTATTTTTCTATAGAACTTTATGATTTTAAGATTTCAGTAAATAAATTTACATATTCTTCATCCATCTGTTTATGTTGGAAATACAACGTAGTGGCAGCAGTGAAATATATTTGCGCAGACCTCTGACCTTTTCAAATTTTCCAAAACCAACTTTGCTTGGCAGGTGCAAAAGATTTTCCCATTAGTGAAAAACAGGTCGGGTTGTGCCTCTGATACCACTCAGACTAGAGTAAAGTTGCCAAATTGTTTTTGTATGCTAAATTGCTATTTTAAAGAACAGTTATGATAATATTAGGTCTCCCAGATGTCAAAAGCTTAATTTACATGCTAATATTACGGTTATGGTGATCAGTATTATTCAGATGATATGGGAAGTCAGAAACTGAGAGGGACGGGCTGCTCACTGTCTAAGTCATTATCCACTCTCTAGAGACTGATAGGTTTAGACAGATTGTTTAAAATAGAGCTGGTTTTCCTTGTAAGCACTATCCAAAAGTCAGTAAACAAAGAGTTTGGGTAATACAGTATTCAAGAGGATACTTGTATTTGGAAAAAATACATAATTTATTATCAAAGAGTGGTTTTATTATCAAAATATGGGTTAGTAGTTGATACTAGAAATGTTTGTTTTTATATAGGGACTGTATTTCAATGAGTCGAAAGAGTTTTTAGAAAACAATTGATTTTTTTAAAAAGAGGACCAGCATCTTAAGTCATGAGAGGGATTTTTTTTTTTTTTTTTTTAAAGCTTTAATTGTTTGGAAAAAGAAAAATTGGAGAAGTTATTTTGTGAATTCTAGGAGTTAGCAGCTATAAAAAAAGTAATTGTAAATGTAATTAAATGTAATGGTTTGCAAATTAACTTCTCATAATAAATATAACCTACATCTCTGTGTTTTCTGAAATTATATTAATTTCATATTTTGCTTTTAAAGTGTGAGAATCATTTTAATGTATTTTGTTACTTTTTTTTTTCCCCATTTTTTTATTGTGAATTGAATGAAGGTCTACAAAACAGACCATCGGTTTTGCATTCAACAAATCATATACTTTATTTCATTACATGGTTGCAATCCCTTTCGTGGTGGTACTTATCTTTATAAACATATTTTTTCTACCATAATTTTTATATTGACAGAGGCTTTTGCATAACAACCCAGTAGCTTTACTTCTTCATTCTATTTTGAACTATTAAAATGTGCTAAGTAATGTTATCATTTTAATATGAAACATATAGTTTAAATGCCAGTTTCTCAGAATACCAGGTGATGTTTCTCAAAAGTCTACTGTTATCGTAATCCATGTGTCTGTTTATCTTAAAAGCAACCTAGAAGTCTCAAAAAGTTTTCAAAACAAAATTAATTTTATTTACATCTGTTTAAAATTCAATGCAAAACAGTTTTGATAAATAAGAATTAAAATTGCAAAACAAATTTCAAAAACATTGGAATTAACTGTAGAAAAGGAACAAGGTATGGCTATGTTGTTGTTGTTGCTGTGTGCTGTGGAGTTGGTTCCAACTCATAGCAACCCTGTACAGGGTTTCCAAGACTGTAAATCTTTATGGGAGCAGAAAGCCTTATCTTTCTCCCACGAAGCAGCTGGTAGTTTCGAACTGCTGACCTTGCGGTTCACAGCCCGATTCGTAACCACTACGCTACCAGAGCTACACAAACATTGGGATTAACTGTGTAGAAAAGGAACAAGGTGTGGCTATAGGATGAGTAAAATATACTTACTTTTTCTTTGATTGTTTTAGGTCCCTTATAGCTAATCTTGCTGCTGCCAACTGTTATAAAAAGGAAAAACATCTTGATCTGGAAAAAAACTGGGTGTTGGTAGAAAAAGCAAGAGTTTGTTATATAGCAGTAAGTATTTACACCTAATTCAAATTTCTGCACATAACAATACTATATAGCTTTTGGATGATAGTAATTTTTAATAACTGTCATTTACCTACCCAGAAATTTTTTTATCCACTTCAAGTAGATGTTAGTTTCATTATTATAAATAGTAAAGAGAAATCTGGCTCTCTTTATGGTAACATGGTTTTCATTATTTACCCACAGTCCTCTGTCTTCTTGGATATATTATAGACTTATATTTGTAAATCAAACACAAAATTATGTGTTTAATTAGTTTCTTAATATCTTTTGAAGTAATTTTACAAATTTACATTTTTAGGCAACTTCTGAATGATGCATGCATTGTTTGGGAAAATATTATTAGCATAAATATTCACTGCAAGCAGTTTGAACTTATTTGCCAAAAAAATCTTAATTGCTATTTAGTCCATAGTAATTACCATGACACCTTTTATTTAATATTTCAGGAACATTGATCTTGACAAATCTTTTAAATCTGGGAATGAGGATAGCATGTAATTTGAGTTATTAAATCTTCTGACATAAAAATAATTGGTCGAGAATTTATTTCTAAAATGGGATAGTGCTAAAAATCCTCCTGAATGAATCACCGCATGATTACTTTGCTTAAATTTAATATGTGTTTAATGTAAGTGATAACAAATAAGTAGATATCTATGAAAAATTGCAAGCATCTCCTATGCATATAATAATACATGGTTTTGGTGTAACAGCTGCCGCCATTCTAATACCTGAGCTGTGTGAAACAGCTGGTAAGAAGTGTAAAAAATTGATTATCCAGTAGGAACATGTTTATTGAAAATATAATTATTTCTTTCAGTCTACTGTTAATGTCTCCTACATGTTTATGTGCACTGCTGTAGGCTTCACAAGGTTCTTATTGATTTCTCTGTATAGCAAATACTACCTCTTTTTTTTTTTTTTTAACCTGTCAGATAAATGCTTACGTTGAGAAGATTATCTAAAAGAAACTCATGTTACTTCTGCCTGTGTGTGAGGAGGAACATTTTCCAAGAATCCAAAATATTTCCCCTTTAACTGTTTTTATGTTCTGTTTTCTTAAAATGGCCTCAGTTTTTATTTATTAACAGGGATTTATGTACCTATTTCAAGCTATCTTACATTTTGGGGTCTGAATTTTAAAAAATACATGATTTACAGCTTTACATGACTTAATGTTGAGTATGATATATGGCAGCATATTGTGATGAAAAGGTTTTTTCAGATTGACAATTACAGTTTTCAGTATTTTAGTATACAGTATTAAACGCAAAATTTTTAACAGCCAATTTACAAATAACTCAAAGTTTTAACAATCATGTTAACAAATCATGTAAAAGCATTAGCTATCTGTTTATGAATGAAGTACAGTTTTGCATGTTTTGTATCATGCCTGCTGATATTAATGTATCATCAATGGTCAAATTAATAATGAAGGCTAAATTATTTTCGAGATTTGTGTGGTATCTGAGTGTTCAGCCAGAACAAACATCACAGTGGTTTCCAGTTGATATTCCTGATGGCGCTTTTCAACAATTTCAATTTTATTAGTGACTCCCAGGACCAGGCAGTGTTTTGTTCTTCTGTGCATAAGGTCTCTATGCGTTGGTATAGACTCGATGACACCTAACAACAATAAAGACATACTCCTTATTCATTGAAGTCTGTGACTCGTCCTCTGAAATGTAGTGTTATTTCCAAGGTCATTCTTTTAAATCTCTAATTGCCTTTGAATTTAGAGCCTTTAGGAGTGAGATAGTAGCGTGGCTAGTCAATGTTCAAACCACAAGTTTAGATGTTTTACTTCCTAGTTTCAGATTCTGTAGGATCAACAGTTACCTAATATCCACTTACTAGGGTTGAACAGAGACTGTTGTTGTTGCTAAGCGCTGTCAAGGCCGTTCAGACTGTAGGTTTCCGATGAGTGGCTGGTGGGTTTGAACCACTGACCTTGTGGTTAGCAGTCCAGAGCTGCAGTGCCACACCAGGATTCTAAATTGAAACTGGACATTTTTCAATTGCAAAAAGTTCTTGATCCAAGGAAAAAATCTCAATATAACAGGTCTACAGTTTCCATAATTGAGACAAATCTGCATTACATAAAATAAATTGGATTATCATACTCAGCCCTCCTTCCTATTGCTCCATGAATGTTGTTGTTGTTGTTGTTATGTGCTGTGGAGTCAGTTCTGACCCATAGTGATCCTGTACAGAGTTTCCGAGGCTGTAAATCTTTATGGGAGTAGAAAGCCTCATCTTTCTCCCGCGGAACAGCTGGTAGTTTCGAACTGCTGTCCCTGAAGTTCGCAGCCCGATTCGTAACCACTATGCTACCAGAGCTCTTTGAATAGTGCACATTAAGAAAATTCAAAGTATTGATCTTATTTTCTCCTTCATAAATGCAAATTTACATTCCTAATAATAAGGTCCACCCCTCGTCTGTCAGTCTGTCCTACTGGGGTGGCTTGTGAGTTGCTGTGATTCTGAAAGTTGTACCACCGGTATTTTAAAAACCAGCAGGGTCACCCATGGTGGCAGCATCAATGGGCTCAAGCGTTGGCCCAGGATCGGGCAGTGTTTTGTTCTGCTGTCCATTAGGTCACTATGAGTTGGTACCGACTTGATGGCACCTAACAACAATAGTAAGCTAAAGTTGGGTTTGGGTAAATTAACCCATTTGGCTGAGTATATAAGACTAAAGTTATATTACCCAGTAAGCAAGTAAAATAGATACTTACTTGTGCTAACTTTATAATCTGTAGTAAATAGTTTCACATGGGTTTTGCTGCATCTTTTTCGCATGTTAAACTGTTCACTGCACATTTATAAACAGCTAAGCTTGCTTATTGGATAATTTAACTGTATAAATTTTAGTTTAAATAAAGCATTCCTTTTTAAAAAAAGTATGCCATTTTGGCATGTAATCTCGCTTTTTCCATGTTGAAACCAAATTCTCAACTTCCTTTTAGCAGATAATTAGAGACTATTGGTTACAGTGAGTAGCTAATTACATTTAAATATATATATATACCTCGGAAACCCTGTACAGGGTCGCTATGGGTCAAAACTGACTCAACGGCACTTAACAACAACAACAACATATATCAATCTTAGGTGTTTATCACTTTGGAATCAAATTGGTTTCTGTATCTTCTTACATTAGACATAGTGTTTCCTTAAAGTGCCCTCTTACGACTTATTATAGCGAGGAAAGCTTTATGAAAAAGACTAAAGAGAGTTAGAGACATTCATTTTTCTAAACTACATATTCTCTATTTCAACAATATCAAAACTTCTGTAAAAAGTAAGGAGTCCTGGTATGGTGCTATAGGATAAGCAAAGGACTGCTAACTGTAAGGTCAGTGGTTCAGATTCACCAGCTGGACCGTACAGAGGGTTACTATAAGTCCGAACCAGCTCCATGACACTCAACAACAACAACAACAACAACAACACAACAATGTATTTTCTTTTTTAAATAATGTTGCTTAACTGCTGTGAAAAACAAGAAAATTACCATTCAGTGTTTCAGTCTTTCTTTTGATTTTTGGTAGTTATATTTTTTATATTCCATTCTTTTTTTATTATCATAATTTTTGATACCTTACTATATTTAAGAGAATTAAATGCCTACCACTGATTATCTCCCCGCCCCCCACTCCTTTATTGTTTATATGGATCACCCCTTGAATGACTGTATTTTGTCATCAAGCTTTTTTTTTTCCCTAGGAAAAGGACTAAGACCTCTTCTTCTCTTGAGTTTTTTAATTTGCTTCTTAATTGCTTTTGTATATAAATGACATGTTGGTATAATAGAAAAAAGGACTTTTAGATGTTCTCTTTCAGCATTTTTGTTGGGAAATACCCGACTAGGTAAATTGTATTTCCCTCCTTTACTCTTTCCATTTTTCTGCTTAGCTTGGATTTTGGTAGATCTTCTCATCTTCTTCCTTTTTATTTTATTGCTTGTTTCTTAAAGTGGAAAAATAATTTGACTTTTAAGGCATTTAAAATTTTCTGGGTGCTAATTGGAAGGTTGACAGTTCAAACCCACCAGCAGCTCCACAGGAGACAAGACCTGGCAATTTTGTTCCCGTAAAGGTTATAGCCAAGGAACCTCTCTAGAGCAGTTACAGTCTGTCGTGTAGGGTTGCTAGGAGCTTGAATATTAGACGTTTTTTATTTTGAGGCTTTGAGTGTTGGTACTTGAGGTAGAAGCTAATGATATCTGAATATCCTTCAGTGCATGTGACAGTATCCTACAGAAAAGGATTATCTATTTAAAATAGATAACATTGGCCATTGGGTCCATTGGCACCAAGGTTGAGAAACCCTGGTACTTGCAATATTAAAGGATTCCATGGGCAAAATATTGAATGATGCAGAAAGATGATGGTGGTATACACAAAGTTACAGTATCAAAAAGACATGGTCACTCTTCAACCATTTCAAGAGTAATCATATGACCAAGAACAATTGTATTGAAGGTAGAAGTCTAAGCTATACAAAAGGCATTGGCAAAAAACAAGGCTCCAGGAATTGACCGAATACATATCAAAATCTTTCAACAAACGAATGCAGCGCTGGAAGCTCTCACTCATGTCTGCCAAGAACTTTGGGAGACAGGTATCTGGCCAACTGATTGTAAGAGTTCTATAGTTGTGCCCATTCCAAAGAGAGGTGACTCAACAGAATGTGAAGTCTTCAAATAACATCATTAACATAAAAAGAAAACTTTTGCTGAAGATCATTTAAAAACTGCTGCAACAGTACATCTACAGGGAACTGACAGAAACTCAAGCCAGATTCAAAAGAAAACTTGGAACTAGGATTGCCGTCTTAACTGCCAAACCACTGAGAATGCTGACCTAGTTGATATCACAGCCTTGTCTGTGTCTCGTAAGTTTCACTGTACTTTTGAATTGTTCTGTCCCAGGTACTGATCAGTATTCGGATGAGCTATCAACAAGTTTCTCCGTGTA